GGGTAGTTTGGGGCCATTCAGGTATGGGAGGGGAGGAGGTTGGGATGGGAACTGGATCAGCCAGGAGGTGTCTGGGCCCTGCTCAACCATCAATCCTGAGGCAGCCAGAGAGGAGACTTTGTGCAGAGGGAAGGAGCAGTTCTTCTTGAGGGTCCAGAGGACACTGGGGAGGGAAGGTCTGATGCCCCACAGATAAAATGGTACAGCAATGTCCCGGGGTCCCCCTGGTCCATATAGTGCCTTTGTTCAAATTAGAAAAAGGTTCCCCTCCTCTGCATGGCCATCATCCTACACTGAACTTAACAAGCAGAGCATGGAATGGAGCTCAGCTCCTACTTCCATCCCCTTGACTGGGTTTCCTTGTGCAGTCAACAACCTGTGCAGCTGCATATGGAAGCTCTAGTGTCCTAGCCCACCTGATGAGACTTATTGGTGAGTGTGGGAAGAGTGCTGTCTGAAGATTCCCCCAGATACATGATGTGGACATTTCCTGCGTCCTCATTGAGCATATAGCTGTATTTCTTGATCCTTTGGAAAGGTAGGAGTTCTTGGAGAGACCCTGCCCTGGCCCTTCCCTGGTCGGTTGCAGACATCCTCTGCAATGCTGTGAGATACTGCTTGGAAGAAGAGCCCCTCCTGGCGGCTACCAGGGCGAACTTGGGAGAGAAAATACGTCAGCTATGCATGTGGTCCCGGACTTGACTTCTACTGGCCCAGTCACTCTCTATAAGCCAAAGTGAACTTCAAACGTGATTTGATTATTATAAAGTAATGACGCAGGCCCACGAGTCAAGTTGTAGCTGTTTGCTCTTCTCTTGAAATACGAGTAGTCACTTAACCAAATCTCACAGCACGAGAGACAGACAGACCTGAGGCCTCTCCATCACTTTACAGTTTGGGAAGCAGTCCAGGACCATATCAGTGTCTTCTCTTCAGTAATGCAGGTAATTACAGGTAGAATCTGGACTGGGATATAATGTCCTCTCCCCCACCCTGCCCCCAGGGAAGTGTTCTTTCTATAACATTCTCTACCAAATACCAGGAAAAAAATCCTCCTAGGTCTAATAGATTTTTTGGTGAGAGCTTTAGTGAGGTATAATTTACATACCATAAAATTCACCTGCTTTCAGTATACAACTCGAGTTTTAGTAAATTTACGGAGCTGGGGAGGTGTCCCCAAATCCGATTTTAGAACATTTCCATGACCCCAGAAAGACCCTGCATGCCCATTTGCAGCAAATCTCTGTTCTTGTTCCTTCTCTTAACTCTAGGCAACCTCTAATCTGCTATTTTTATAGATTTACCATTTGTTAAAAAAAAAAAAGACTTTTCATGTTCACCAAATTGTACAATATGTGGTCTTTTCTGTTCGGTTTTGTTCACTTAGAATGATGTTTGCAGGGTGCATCCCTGTTGTAGTCTGTGACAGTACTTGATCCCTTCTTATTACCAAATAGTAGTCCGTTGTACGGATAGACCACATTTTGTTTGTCCATTCATCAGGTGGTGGGCATTTGGATTGTTTCTACTTTTTGGCTATTATGAATAATAGTGCTATGAACATTTATGTACAGGTCATCGTGTGGATATATCGATAGATTTTTTTACGGTGAATTTGCAGATTGTTCCAAAAAGAGTTCAGGGGGCGCCTGGGTGGCTCAGTCGTTAAGCGTCTGCCTTTGGCTCAGATCATGATCCCAGGGTCCTGGGACTGAGCCCTGCGTCAGGTTCCCTGCTCAGCCGGGAGTCTGCTTGAGGATTCTCTCTCTCTCCCTCTCCTTCTGCTCATCCCCCTGCTCATGCTCTCTCTCCCTCTCTCTCAAATAAATACATAAAATCTTTAAAAACAAAACGAAACCAGAAAACCCAGAGTTAAGTATTGTGCTAAAAACTGTGCCCTGCACACCGTCCTTTTTGCTTCTCTTTTAGTCACAGGGTAACGTACAATTATGATAGAGGGACGGTTGCAAAACCATCAGCGACATCGCTAACATCCTTAGCACTACCGTCAACAGCCTTTACTGGGCGCTAATTCTTTTTGGTACCTGGGATGGGCAAGAGATTTTTTTTTCCTCCACGGACGAGAATGTTTTGCTTTTAAGTCCGACGCTCTTCTGTCTCTCTCTAAAGGAAGGTGGTTTTCTCAGCCTCAGAAACAGCAAGAATCTGGATCAGAGAATGTGATAAATGTGCAAGCTTTGGGCCATGTTGTCTTCCAAGTCCCCTAAGGGCTAAAGGACCAGTCTCTGAGAATGCCTTCCTTACCCTCGGCACTACTGATACTGGATTCTTTCTTATGCGGGCCTGTCCTGGGCCTCGCAGGGTCTGTTAGCAGCATTCCTGACCCCCACCCACTCGGTGCCAGGAGCGAACCTCCTAGTGGTGACAAGAGTGTCTCCCAGCATTGTCCCTGGGTGAGGGGGCCTGGCTGGAAGCACAGATTAAGGGACAGGTGTGAAGCCCACTTGAACACTGCTCTTCATCTCGCAGGGCTGGGGAGTGTGAACCAGCCCGGCCTCTCTTGGCTCCGGAGGGGGATCCGGGGCTGCCGAAGTCTCCTAGATAAGATCTATAAATGAAACCATGTTAGCCCGTGACTGTGGCAACGTGAGCTTTACTTAAAATACAATGTCTGCCAAAAGGAGAGTCTTGTGAAGGGACACATGTTTAGGCTAGGGGGAGGTTGTTATGGGAAACAAGGGGATGAAAACATCACAGCCTGAAGGGGAAATAACTTCCTCTCACTGATCTGAAGTCAAATACCGTTTGAGTCAAAAACAGCCACCCACCAGATGACCGAATCGGCCACCAAGCGAGGGTTGTTGCTGCACACCCCAGGGGGAGGGATGCTTCCCTCTTCGGCAAGGAACTGTTTTCTGCACACAGATGTTTTTGTGTTTTCGAATGATACATTTTTCAAGGACTTCTGGGCCACTCCCTTCTTTTGGTAGAGGAGCTCTGAATACTCCCGCAGAAGAGGGAAATTCGGGGCTTTTTATTTGTAGGGCAGACAACCCCCCCGATTTTCAGGGTTTGAGAGGTGTCCCCGGACGCAGGACTTGCAGCACCAACCCCCACAAGTGGTCACCTTCCTCAGAAGAGACAGCATGCTTCATCAAGTCCTGCCTGTGAGCCTGGCTGGCCCTGTCTCCCTGAGGAGTCCCCTCCATACCCCCGAAGCTGCAGGTTCCTCTCAGGGAGGGCGGGCGTGGTGACACAGCCCAGTGTCCCTGCTGGGGCGGGCATGGAGGCGGGCACGTGGGTGGGTGTGAGCAGTGAGTCCATACGGAAACGTGTTCCCACTGTGCCCGGGGTAGGTCCTCCAGTGGGGGAAGGCAGGTTATGCCTGAACCCCTAGAGCGGCCGCATCTTCTAAGTCCTGGGGATGCTGTTCGAAGTCCTCCTTGGGCTCCTGCCTCCCAGTCTCGGCCATGTGTTTTCTCTCGGAGGACTAAGGCAATGAAAGCATAATGCTAGGGCACTAAGAATGGGGACCCATAGATGTGTACCTTGTGTACGCAGGGTGCTAAGCCCTTCTCATGTTAAAGAGCTTTTAGCTTTGAAGCCATTACTTTTCTCTCTAGCCCCAAGGGGAGAACTCTCCTAGAAATGGAGTGGTCTTAGCTGTCAAGTCCAAGGACACTTGACAATGATGTAAGTAAAGCGCCGAGCCTTCAGGTTTCAAGTGGACATAGAGAAGAGCCAGAGTATAAATTGCTTTTGGTTGCTGTGTAGAAAACACCGATTAGACATGCCAGTGGACGTGCTTTTAACAACCCAACTGCTAAAAACATCATTATTGCATTATTATTGAGTGTAAGTTGGATGATTGCAACCTAGATGCTATCCTAGAAAAGACAGACTTCAGTGTAGTAGGGGCTTCCAAATTAGCTGCAATACTGCGATCATTCTTTCTCCCTTCAATGGGCTATTCAAGAAAATAAAACAACCCTTTTATTTCAAAGAGAAATGTGACACCTTTCTGAGTCTATTTGAGGTGTATAGTAATCTAGATTAAAAAAATTTTTAGTAAAGGTTTGTCTTAGGAAAGGCTACTTAGAATAACTTTTGTATAAATCAATGCTCAGTTTTTAAAGTTGAAAATCAATTTTTTAAATATTTGATTAACTCGTAAGTTAAACAAACGAGATCCACCTATTTAAATAACCAACCAAACTTAGAAACTTACTTAGTTAAATTCTCTTAAGCATTTTAAAACTCTATTCTCAAAATTTAGTATGGCCATAGCACTTTATATTCCTGTCAGGACAGACTTACAAACCCAACAAGCAAATTCCTTCTAAGCACTTAGCTCTTATAAATGTATAGGTGGATATATCAGGTACTCTTAAACTATCAAACACTCTTTCCCAACTTTATCAAATTCTCTTACTCCTTTCAAACAAAAACCACAAGTCTACCACCGACTGAAAATTTCAAATCATACCCCAGGGCCTATATGGCACATACTCCAATATGCTGAAATCCTATGTATGTTTCTAGTGACTTATATGACACATAATCTTGTTTTCGACGATTATTACATAGTTGCAAATTCTACACCGAAGTATTAACACTGTGGATTAGAGTTGCTTCATTATCTCTACATGTTTGTTTCATGTTCCTGATTACAAAGTTGCTCAGTTGTCCATGGGGAGCCAATCTGCATCTCAGGCTCAGTTTGGGGATGTGGCTCAAGATCCAGGTTATGTTCCCAGGGTGTGGACCCACTCACAGCATCTGGCCACCGCGTTTAGAACGATGTGCTCACAGGGTGATAGGATGTCTCCAAGCCTCACTTTTCATGCCTCCTGATGTTTTATGCTGTCTCCCTACCCAGTTTTTACAAATTGCAACCTAATTATTCACAACCTTTAATTCCCTGACTTAAATTGATGAGCCCCTGCTCCCCTTCAGGCTTGCATCTGGTTTCTCTTCTCTCTGATCACATGGTGCTTCCGAGGCCAAAGAGCTCCTCCCCCCAGACTGCAGGCTTGCTGACGTCCGGGATTGAGAACTGCAGCGGAGCGTCTCCACCACAGGTGCATATATGGGATTTGGGCTCATTTTATTGTGTCTTCCAAGGGCTGTTTTCCTTGACTACTACATGCTCGCAAGCTCCTACTCTCCTCCATCTGTCCTTAAGGTTTTCCCATTTGCTGTATTTGGTTTCCTTTGAAGTGATCAAAGCTGAGTTTCCTCTTTGTTACTTGGGTTGAAAGAGCTACCTTTTACTGATTATCCCTTCATACCATAGATAGTATTGAGTTGTTTTGAAAACAAAGATTCCCTAACATGAATGTTTTATTCCCTTTTATCTTTACTTACCTTATGTAACTCTTAATTTCTACAGTGTAGCTTAAGACAGGTCTCATCTCCCCTGAGCCCTCTCCCCGCCACCCCACCAAAAAAAAAAAAAAAAACCTACAAAGGAAAAAAAAATGCTTTCATTCCTATTTAGCTCTACTTTCTGTTCTCTCTTTTCAGGATTTTCGTCTACTGAGCGTGGTCCTCTGCGGAGTCTCTTGCTCACCTTCACGCTCCACCTGTAGAGAGGACAGAGGAAAGTGTGCTTTGAGAAGGGGCTCTCTCGCTCTGTGCCATCCCCACCAGCACAATGAAGAGGTCTGAGCTTCTCCTTTTTAGCTCTGGGATCGTCTTTCACTTCCAAGAACATACAGTGGAATTGCAGGTAAAATGGTTGGTTTTGATCAGAATCTCACTAGTTTAAATGTGAAAAGTGGAACTGGGGGGAAGAAGAAAGATCTTAGAGGGGCCTTCATCTTCTTACTCATGGTGAGTCCTATTTTTCATCTCCCAAAGTAGAAGTCAAGATTCATGGGCAGATGGGTTTTTTCGTTGCACATACCACGTTCCCCATGAGATGAATGATCGCTGCCACGCTTTCTCCCTCCGTTGTCGAGCAGGAGTAATCATTTGGGAAGGTCCCCGAGATGTAGTACTAACATTGGAGCAAAGAAATATGGGTGAGCCAACATTCATCCTCCCTTTTGAATTTTTTATCCTTTTGGAAGAAATTTTGGATGAATTTTTTATCCTGTTGTCAGTGGCTTCAGTGAGAGTGATTTTTTTCACTTCGAAAGCCTGGTGATTGTTGCCAACATTTGTAACCCAACTCGAGATGGTTAGACATTTCAAAGGGAGAAGACATGAAGAAAGCCCACTTGTTCTAGTAATGATGCCATCCTCCCCGGTGTTTATATTGATGGGCACCCAGGTAGGACAGGTGGGTTCATTCTATGTCCATGACCTTGACAACTCAAGAGGCTTTGAAAAATGGCAGAGGTTCATCATCTCCTCAAAATTACTACTTGTGAATAGGAGTCTTCATGGGTATATACATATATCTCTATATACATATGCATGTGTATACACACACATATATGAAACTCTCTTCAATTAGACGGCTTTAACTGCCTGCAAAAGCAAGTATTATCAATTATATAGTCCTTAAATGAACTTGGAGAAAAATGATAATAATCCCCAAACAAATAACATTCCAAATATTCTGCCCATTGGAGGCAATATTTTTACTGCTTATTTTCTGATGTAATTTAAGGCTTCCCTTACAAAGGACCACATATGTCACCATACGATGGAGACATAATTTGGAAGTTGAAGACAAAGTAAATTCAGATAATGTAGCCTCTCATAAGTTGGTTAAAGTGTGGAAATAAAAAAATCACCAAAACAACAATGAAAACAACAACAATGACAATAACAACCCTAGATGTACTTGAAAAATACTTTGTGGAACCCAAATTTAGTAAACCCCAGTGCCTCAAGGAATCCAGTTTGAAACTCCTAATTTTGGCTTGTTTACCTACATTCAAATGATCTAAGGTAAAAGGCAACCTCTTTTTTTTTTTTTAAAGATTTTTATTTATTTGAGAGAGAGAGAACATGAGCAGGGGGAGCGGCAGGTAGAGGGAGAGGGAGAAGCAGATTCCCCGCTGAGTGCAGAGCCGGACACGCGGCTCGATCCCAGGACCCCGAAATCATGACCTAAACCAAAGGCAGACACTTAACTGACTGAGCCACCCAGGTGCCCCAAGGCAACCTCTTTTTAACATAAATAATCAGTAGCTCTTTAGAGAGATAAAATGAACTGAAAACCATTCTAAAAATGTGTACAAAAAATAACACACCTGTATGGCACCTTAGGAAGTTTCATTTCATAAAGAGCGTCTCTGTAAACCTCAGAATCCCAGTGTGGAGCGAGGAGGCAGGTGGCAATTATTACTTCTAAGCCCATTTAACAGACCAGAGCACTGAGGCTTGGGGTGTTTAGCTGGTTTATTTAGGGCTAAAGAGGAGATGATCCGGGTCTTTGGACTTGAAGTTACTATGGTTTCCTCACATCAGGTGTGTGTGGGCTATTTACACGTGAACTTGCAATCAAGTCAAATCCAGAGTCATTATGCTGCTCTGATCCTAACTCCTGTCAGCTCTAAACCCCATGCAACACGTCTGTCTCTTTCCTGCCCCTAATTTGGGACCTATGTACGCAGTGTCCCCGGTGAAGGTGAGGACTCAGGTGCTCACAAGAGAAGCTTGACAGCTCCACTCCGGACTTACACACAGACCTTCCTTCCGTGCCCCGCTGCTCCCAGCCCTCTGACTGGGAAGCCCCACCCACACTGCACCTTGAGTGCCCCAAACCAAATGAATCTCCGAGATCAAGGCCCAGGCTTCAGTATTTCTAAAAAAAGTATCCAAGTGATTTTCATGCATGGCCAGGATTGAGCTGTCCAATCTGTCCTTGTCACCACTCTCGTCTTGCTGAATGGGATAACCTCTGAAACTCTTTCCTCTTGCCCCATATGCTGGAGCCCGGGATGCACAGAGGGGTGGGGACTGTCTCCATGATCTGCGTGCATGCATGTGTGTATGTGTGTGTTCACTCTGGTATGATGCACTGACCAGCTATGGCACCGATGTCATTTAGAATGCTCCTTATCAGACTTAAATGGGCATGAGGATCATCTGCAGATTTTGTTAATGTTCCAAGTCAGTGGGTCTTGGCTGGGGTGTGCAATTTTGCATTCCTAACCAGCTCCCGGGGGCATGAATAGCTTCGAACCGCAGCCTACACTTGGAGGAGCAAAGATGCAGAACATTTAAGAACTGATCAGCCAATCTCATTTTCGACACACATACCCACAAATATCATATTTCATTGATTTTAATATACCTTTTTTTCACATTTCAGCAAATGTGCAATTGGAACGCGTCTTCGAGACAATGATGTCTTATGCTTGCTGTTGACCAGGAAGCAGCCGACACAGTTCCCATTGCCTGTGTGTGAGTAGACTCTGTCTGGTTGTCGCACTGATGGTGCTCCCATGAGCCACGCGTGTGTTGGTAGCTACATGACTGAGTTTAACTGACACTTAAAAATCTCTCCAAAAATTACGTATAATTTTGCACTTAAAGGAAAAGTTGTTAAGTACACAGAAAGGCACGCAAACAAAGCAGCAGGATATAAATGTGTTATTGGTAGAGCAAATATTGCTCTTTGGTAGAATGACCATATTCTCTAGTTTCTTGCAAAGTCACCACCAAAATATTCGTTCAGAATATTTGTTCAGAATATTCGCTGCCCCTCCACTGGACCTCTCTCCCCCTGTAGGGCCCCTCCTTCCTGAATCCCCCTGTGGGAGGAGCATACTCCACGCCAGTCCTGTCAGCTTGACCACGTGAGCATGAGTCACTGGCGTGTGAGTAGAGTGATGTCTGTACTTTTGAGCGGAAGCCACCGGAGCTGCCACACCCATTTGCTCTTTGTCTTTCCCTCTGACCTGAGGTCGGTGTGCCTTGATAGGGGCTGTTCCCTCAGCCTGGACCCCGGATGAAGGCCTGGGGTGCAGAGCGGCAGCCAATCTGCACAGCACATTTAACACAAGCGAGAACAAAACCTTTGCTGTGTTATGACCCTGCCATTTAGGTGGTGTTTGTCAGCGTGGCACAATTTACTGAAAGCTGACTGATACAAGGACCTAAGAAAGAAGTAGGTGAGAAGGAATTAGTACTGAGATATATGCAGGGCAACCAACGCAAGCAAAGACAGGAGGAACTGCCAAATCCCTGAGGAAAGAGTAAGGGTGCTCAGAGTAAGGAGAGACTGGTGTGATCATGTATTGATCAATACATGCTGTAGCTTCATTAACACATCAATTTTCTTAGTCATTTGAACACTAAAAGCGTGCCTTACGATCAGTATTGTCTGGGAATCATGACACAGTCACTGGGTTCCAGCAGGGGCGCCATATTGTATTTTGGTGTATGGGGTCCCATCCTGTTCACACGCTTATCACTTGTGACCGTTTCTCAAGCATTTCACTTTAAAGTCTGTCAAAGGATTTGTTCATATTTAATGAAGACAAGGACTATGTGTAGGTGGATCCTCCAAATAAGGAATAAATCATGCCTTTTTTTAAAGCAAAAGTCAAACTCTTCCTGAAGGGGAAGATCTGAGGCCTTCCTGGTTGCCTTACTTTGAAAATTACTTTGTATCAAATGCCCCCCCCCCACCAAGGAAACTCCCCTGCCTCATGGGTCCATGCTCTTTTCTTATTTGGATGGCAACTCCTTTTTTTTTTAAGTAACTAATTTTATTTTTAAAAATTATTTATTTAGTATTTATTTTTATTATGTGTTTTTAAAGTTTTATTTAAATTCCAGTTAACATACAGTGTAATATTAGTTCCAGGTGTACAACAGAGTGATTCAACAATTTTATACAACACCCAGTGCTCATCACGCTAAGTGCCCTCCTGAATCCCCGTCTCCTATATCACCCGTCACCCGACCTCCCTCCCCTCTGATAACCGTCAGTTTGCTCGCTCTACTTAAGAGTCTTTGTCTTGATTCGTCACTCTCTCTCTTTTTTTCCTTTGTTCATTTGTTTTGTTTCTTAAATTCCACGTATGAGTGAAATCATATGGTATTTTTCTTTCTCTGACTGACTTATTTTACGTAGCATAATACTCTCTAGCTCCGTCCATGTTGTTGCAAATGACAAGATTTCATTCTTTTTTATGGCTAAATAATATTCCATTGTATATATACCATGTCTTCTTTATCCATTCATCTACTGATGGACATCTGGGTTGCTTCCATAATTGGGCTATTTGTAAATAATGCTGCAGTAAACATCAGGGTACATGCGTCCCTTTGAGCTAGCGTTTTTCTATTTTAGAAAATAGGGGGTTAAATACCAGTAGTGCAATTACTGGATCACAGGGTCGTTCTATTCTTAACTTTTGGAGGAGCCTGCATACTGTTTTCCACAATGGCTGCACCAGTCTGCACTCCCACCAACAGTGCACAAGGGTTCCTTTTTCTCCACATCCTCGCCAACACTTGTTATTTCTTGTGTTGTTGACTTTAGTCTTCCTGGTGTGAGCTGATATTTTATTGTAGTTTTGATTTGCATTTCCCTGGTGATGAGTGATGTTGAGCATCTTTTCATGTATCTGTTGGCCATCTTCATGTCTTCTTTGGGAAAATGTCTGTTCAAGACATGAACATAAAACTTTTTTTAAAACCTATTTTTAATTGGGGATTATTTGTTTTTTGGGTGTTGAGTTGTAAACGTTCTTTATTATTTTGGATACGAACACTTTATTGGATATGTCATTTGCAAATATCTTCTCCCATTCCCTAGGTTGCCTTTTAGTTTTGTTAATTGTTTCCTTCGCTGTGCAGAAGCTTTTTATTTTGATGAAGTCCCGATAGTTCATTTTTGCTTGTTTCCCTTGCCTCAGGAGACATATCTGGAAAGAAGTTGCTATAGCTCATGTCACAGAAATTGCTGTCTGCATTCTCTTCTAGGATTTTTATGGTTTCAGGTCTCACATTTAGGTCTTTAATCTATTTTGAATTTATTTTTGTGTATGGTGTATGAACGTGGTCTAGTCTCATTCTTTTGCACGTTGCTGTACTATTTCCCAACACCATTTGTTGAAGAGACAGTCTTTTTCTCATTGGATATTCTTGCCTCCTTTGTTGCAGATTAATTGACCGTGTAATTGTAGGTTTATTTCTGGATTTTCTCTTCTGTTCCATTGATCTATGTGTCTGGTTTTGTGCCAGTACCATACTGTCTTGATAATTGCAGCTTTGTAATAGAGCTTGAAGTCCAGACATGATGCCCCCAGTTTTGCTTTTCTTTTTCAGGATTGCTCTGGCTAATTTGGGGTCTTTTGTGGTTCCATACAAATTTTAGGATTGTTTGTTATAGTTCTGTGAAAATGCTACTGGTATTTGGATAGGGATTGCATTAAATGTGTAGGTTTCTTTGGGTAGTATAGATATTTTAACAATATTTGTTATTCCAGTCCATGAGCATGGGATGTTTTTCCATTTCTCTGTGTCATCTTCAACTTCTTTCATCAGTGTTTTGTAGTTTTCAGAGTATGGGTCTTTCACCACTTTTGTTAAACTTATTTTTAGATATTTTATTATTTTTGGTGCAATTGTAAATGGGATTGTTTTCTTAATTTCTTTCTGCTGCTTCATTATTGGTGTATAGAAATGCAACAGGTCTCTGTACATTGATCTTGTATCCTGTGACTTTACTGAATTCATTGATCAGTCCTAGCAGCTTTTTGGTGGAGTCCTTAGGGTTTTCTGAGAGCTTTTCCCCTAAGGTCAGGAACAGGACAGGGATGTCCACTCTCACCATTTTACTCAATATAGTACTGGCAATCTTAGCCACAACAATCAGAGAATAAAAAGAAATAAAGACATCCAAATTGGTAAGGAAGAAGTCAAACTCTCACTATGTGCAGATGACAGGATATTATACATGGATGGCAACTCTTTTTAGGTGGTGGATGCATTATGGAGGGTGGGGAAAGTTAGGCAAGAGGGTAGTGTCTACCAATGCATTTTTATTCTATTTCCTTAAGAGTAGAAAAAAACAGGTAGTATTGCTATGAAATCATGATACATATAAGACATTGAGATTTAGGGTACATAGGTGTGTGTCTAAATGCATGTGTTGTCCACACGTGGCCCTTGTGTGTGGGTGGGGGAGTCAATCATTAATGAGACCACACTTCCATTTTTCTTTTCCTCTTTATTTTGTCTCTATTTGATGAAGAAAACTTACCAAAAAAATTTATTCTCGTTTTAGAACACAAAATATTTTTGTTTTTTACTTCAAATTTGCACTCTGTATTCTTCTCTAAAATACCCTAATAGCTTTGAATGAGTTGAGTGATGTTCAGCTGAAATTAAGCCACTACTCTACAAGACTCACATTTCCCTCCGAGATGTAAGGCAAGACAAAGAGAACTATGATGATGTTTCCTTCTGGCTTCTATCTCCTCTTTTATTCCTATTTTTTATTTATTTATTTAATTAATT